GTCTTCTGCAATCTATCCAATTGTTCAGAATCATAGGGGTATTAAGAGAAGAAGTGGTGCTCCTTTAGTGTTATTGTTTGTTTGGGAGGTGTGTGCACTGAAAGAGGCGACAATATAGGAAGGGGGGGATAGAAGGAAGCTTCCAAAGCCATCTCATGCTCATTGGGTCGTTGACTCTCATAATACTTTACAAATTTTTAAATCTTGCTTAAACCCTTGTTGTCTTATGGCTACATGATTAGGGTTCTTAAAAGAACTCTTTGTTCGTGAATAACTCGTGTTCGGCTCTTTAAGCAAACGAGCCGACCACGAACACATTTTTTGAGCTCGAAATATAAACGAGCCGAACACGAGGGAACTTTGGCTCGCTTATGTTCGGCTCGTTTACACCCCTAGCCACAATTCGATGGTCTTTAGGGGCATTTACGTACATACTACTAATTTCTAATGTATTGACATATCTAGCGCCTAAACTTTTCTTTTTTACATTTATACCGCACAAATCTTTCATATCCCATAAAATATATCCCTATTTTAACTAAAAAAAAAAGTGAAATGCACATTTTCATCCATAGGTAAGGCGATATATGTAAAAATTGAAGTTTAGGTGTCAGATATGTAAATATATAAGAACTGAGTGCGCTTTTATGTAAATCTTCCTAGTTTTAATATCTTAATCCCTCACTCAACATCATCCCACCACCATCCCGCTATAAAAGCTGAGCCACTCCTTGCATCACCATGGCTGCCACAATCATGTCCACACCGAGGATGATGTTGAAGCTTGTCACTGTGGATTTAGAAGAGTTGGAGGGCAGATTGTGTGGGACCATGCAATGAAATAGATGGCGGGCTTGTTTGCTAGGGAGGAGCTGTTTGTGGATACAAAATTGATAGTAGATGTGCTTCCATGAAGTAAAGAGTAAGTCGAATCTGTAAAAAATGGTTGAAGGGGTAATTGGGGTGGGGATGAAGCTAAAGAAGGGGGGGATGTTATAGGGCTGGATTGGTCCGAAGGGAGGAATTGATGACTAGGGAAAAGAGGAGGGTGATGATAGTAGAAGAGGCTAAAGGATGGAAGGTCGAAGGATGGATGTGTGCAGGAGATTATTTCAATTTTGGTGCTATTTATGTGCATTATGGTTTGTTGTTTACTGGTGTAGGGAGGAATTGGGGGCAAAGGACTATAGAGTAATTTGATTAGCTCTCAGTACTTGCTTAGCATTAACCTTCTGTTATTACTTGATTTTCTTTACTGCTTTTCATGGTGTGGTTTAATATGAATAGTTTTGATTAATTGTTTAGATTTTGCATGATGAACAAGAAGGACCGTAATTAAAACTTAATATGGTAAAAAATGCTCCCTTTCATTCAGAAGGCCGATAATCGATATCACATCCCACAGTTAAAAAATGATTTTTTTTTTTTCCCATCTATATTGACTTTTAATATTTCTTAATCATATAGCCTGTGTTTGTATTGAATAAAAGCTAAATAGAAGAAATGAAATCCCAATAATTTCTTGACTGATTATGAATTGCAACCATCAATGTAAATGTTGTACTCCTTTTTTATTTCCTTGCACTCAATTTCCCGGTTTCCAACTCGCCCATTAATGTTGCAAAATGTAAATCAATATTATTTTTCTTCACATACTTCATTAAATTAAATCTGCAAGTTGAATACTCATTAGAATTTATAGTCATTTGGGTGTTGATCAATAAAATTCAACATTTCTATTGATTGGCTGCTGTGATAAGATGGTTTAACATCCGTTCTTCTGTATTTGTTAATGTTCAAATTGCATTATGTTCGTCAAACTTTTATTTGGATGAACATGAATAGTTTTATTTATTTATTCATTTATTGCTAGAATTTTAATGTCATTTATCAAGTATTGTTCAGTTCTTTTGACATGTAATATGCCTGTTTGAACCATGTTTCATAGAACTAATATTGATTTATATTTTAGAGGCTCTGTTACAAAAACTGGAATAGCTAATACATCGGCATTTGGAAACAAAAAAACACAAACAAAAAAAAAATGAAAAAAGGCTGGTGAAATGCTATATAAGAAATGTTCAATGTGTTGCAGTGAAAATCCTTTTAGTATGATTTCTGATAGATATATTGCATGCATGACTCACTTTCATCAAAATTTCAGTGCTTCAAAGGTGACATTGAGTTGAAGTCCCATTTCATAGTACTTTTATAGGCATTCTTGTTCCTTTTGGTTTAACGTCAATAATTCTGGGCTAACTTCAGGCATAAGTATGTACCGTGCCATTTATAACATGTAAACCAGTTAGATTTAACTGAAATGGCGTAGAGCCTTATTATAATGCAAAAGGTTTTTCCTTTTGGTTGTAGTAATAACCAATATTCGGGATTCATTCTTTCGATAATGTTGTGACTTACCTATTCCTTGGTTTGATTTTATGTAATTTGGATTCTGAGTTTTATTAAATTTATTCACAAACAATTTCTATTCTTTTGCAATGAGAAGTTCAAGATTTCCTTAACTTCTTCTATTTGAATTATGTCTGCTGGCATCAATATGCATTTATGTAAGAGTTTTCTTTGCGATTTTATGTCTCGTCTTTCATCTCATCTTATGGACATTATACTTTTCCATCGACCTTACTCAATACCACCTATTTGTTGCTCTTCTTTTGGATTACTTAATCCATTCTTGTATTTTTTTATTTGAAATTTAAACTCATTGTAATCTTGATCTGTAGTACTTATTTATTCTAATAATGTTACCTATGAATAAATGTTACATAATTAACTTCATGTTAATATGATTATTGTCGCGTTAAATCAATGAGACCAAATAAAAAATTATATTTTGTTAAGTATGAGAAATTCTTATTTTTCATGTTCCTTACTTTATATTATAATTACTTTGATTTTTTAAGTCTATAAAATCAAAATAATGAAGCCTGCGCTTTCCTTTTGAGGATTACACTTCATCCTTTGTAGTGAAGTGTTTGAGCACTACTGATTGTAGTCTTGTCAATTGGGTTGGTTTGGACCGGGTAGATCCTAGCCTAAATATGATATTAATAACTTTATGGATAGGATTAAAATTCGAGTCGGTTCAAGGTTAATTCAAATATGTTCCACTACCATGTTGAGTCCGATATTTAGATTGAGATTCAACCATATTTAACTTCTTTTCTTTTTTTTCTTGGAAGATTTACATGCATACCACTCGATTCTTATGTATTTACGTCTAACACCTTAACTTCAATTTTTCCAGCTATGTATGAATAAGTGTATTTCACCTTTTTTTTTTTTTTCAGTAAAAATAGTGATAATTTTGATGTGATATGAAAGATTTGGGTGATATAAATGCAAAAACCAAAGTTTAAGTGTTACATGTATGCAAATGCTCCTTTTTTTTAACTGGGCAAAAATGATGTTGTAAATTTTAGTGTTTTGAAATGCTCCCCTTTTTTTTTAACTGGGCAAAAATGATGTAGCTGTAAATTTTAGTGTGTTGAAATGCTAAGACCGGGAAAACAAATGAGGTTGGCAGATGTGAAAAGGATGGGAGCTAAGTTAACTTTGTTTAAACCAGCAGATGAGTTAAATATTGAATAATTGTAAATGATCACATTACATAAAATACCATATCATTATCTATAATTATACATATATCTATATAAATGATGCGTTGTCGTTTTGAACCTTGCAGCATATACTGGAAAATCAAATATATAAGCCGATTAGAGTTCGTGTGGGCAGACATAAGGAAGGGACAGGTTGAGATACCAGAGTTTGTGCAGCGTCATGATGAAGTTCTTGAGCGCAGGCCTTTAACAGACTATGGCCTAGAGGCTGATCCTCTCCGCCTATCTGCTATGGAGGCCATGGAAGGTTCAATTGGAAGGTATGCAGATAGATGGTCTTGCCGGGAAGATATGTAATTAGTCAACTTTTTCTTATAGGCCCTAATAATGAAAACATAATGTGAATAGCAGAGGGTGCCAGATAGTCTGGTTGATAATGATTTAGTAGTTATTGTCATGATTTTGAATTTGATCTTGCCTGAGTAATAATAAATCTCGTTCGTGCTTAATGGTTTAATTTTTAGGGTTGATGTTTGTATCTCGACCATTCGTATTACAATCTAATGCCTATGATAATCGTATGTTCATAATATCTATTCAAATTATACTAGCTTAACGAATGACTTGAAAATAAGTTCACAAAAGGAGAGCCTTATTAGGTGGCTTAGCATTGTTGAGTGGGCTAGGGTATAAATGAGTTGCTCGGACCACATCCAGCTTGAGGTTGTGCTTGATTAATTTTATCGAGCTCGAGCTCAAGCTTTTGTCTATGAGTTCCAGTTGGCTCGCGCTCAATCCCGATTTTTTTTACTATAAAATATAGAAAATAATATTAATGTAAGGTACTCTTATAATAAAATGATGAATAAAATGAGCAATTAGGAGAGAAAAAATATTTAAGCCTTCAAATTTAATATATTTTAAGTTTTTTTTATATTAATTATTTTTTTTAACCCGCTTGGCTCACAAGCTAGTGAGCAAGCCAAGGCTAGCTTGATCTTGGTTTGTTAGCATATCGAGCTGAGTTCATGAGCTAATTATTGAGTCTGCAAGTCCGCTCAGGAGTAGGCTTGACTTACACACCTAGAGGGGGCTTGTGTAATTTCCCAACTATTCCTTTGTTATTATTTTATTATTTAATTTATGGTTTTGCACAGACATTTTGTGTACCTCAGTCAAAGCACTCTATTCGGGTGCTTCATTGATGTCAATGTACACAAATAGGATATATTATTTCAATTTGGTTTTGCACGTGGAAGAATATGTCAAAACAATGTAAATTTAGTTTTAACATATATGCTCAATGTATTTGAAGATCAAGTCATTCTCAAGCTAAGCTTGTCTGCCAAAGTGGTTGAAAAAAGCCCACCTATCGAGGTGGTCGAACTAAGCCCACCTGCCGATGTGATCGAATTAATCCCATCTGCCAAAGTGGTCGAGCTAAGTCCACCAGCTAAAGTGGTCAAATTAAGTCAAAGCGGTCGAGCTAGTCGGGGACAAATGAGCTGTTGGGAAAAGAATTATCATTACCTCATAATACATGTGTGAATCCTTATTTATGATATTGTCTTATACCCGCATTGTGATCTTTTCACCAAGACGTCGTGGACAGAACAATATCGAATGAAACGTAATTTTATATTTCTTTTCTTGCACATATATTTAGGAGGTCTAAGAGAGCTTTCAGGGGGATTGAGGAGATAAAAAGAAAAGGACATGTAAGAATTTTTTTGTGCAAATTCTTAGCTACCCAAGAATCTAAAGAAAATATTGAGTAAAAAACATGATTTCTAACAACACATCTATCATTTTCTCCAATACCTTTCTCCTGGAAACAATATCTCTACTAGGTTGTACGAAATCATGAACAATATGGGGCCCTACATCTTAAAAGGATTTAACATACTCAAATATACAGTGAGTGTGGAGTTCATACTCAAACTCTACAAGAAGATCCTTCCAGCTTACTGAAGAACAAAAAAAAAATGATGGATCGCACCAGAGGGTTTGTGACACAGCTGATCAATTAGATAAGGGAACAAGTTCTGAAAGTTATATAAAATTCAAGATAAGAAACCTTAGATTACTTAGAAGAGAAAAAAAGATGAACTTAAGTTCTAGAGCATGAACTTTCTAAATCCTCAAACAAAGGAGACAAAGGAAGGAGATAAATACTATTGCATAACACATTCTCAAGAGAGCTTGCAAAAGTATAGGCACAGAGGAAGTTCAGAATTTCTTCTCTAATAACTACGTGTCCATAGATACAAGCAACCAAAACGAAGAATACCATCTCACCTTTGACACCTTCCAAGGTTGATCCGAAGGGGCCATATCGACCCTTGCCTCTTCCAGACAAATAAGGGCCGACTCTTCCTCGTTGCTTCTTCGAAGTTGCCCTCTTCTCAGCAGCTTTCTCTATAGCCACTTCCCAAGTATCAAATGATGCCCATAGCCCTTTGGTCACAGTCTTTATACCATCGAGGTGAATCATACGATCTATCACGTTTGGATTGAGGTATTGAAATAACGAAAGACACTAATTCTCGATCAGCTCCTTATAATACTACCAAGAAGAGTCTTCACCTTTACCTCACATTCCATCAGATGGTGCCAATCCCTCAACCACTTGCACAGGAACCCACCAAGAACTCGCCTTCCAATCTTTTCTCTTATTTTCAAGGACCACCAAATAAATCTTGGAACCAACAGTGAATTGGATGTAACCATCCGTACCCATCTTTGAAATAGAAGAAATGGTTGAACAATTCGATTGACGAAGGGATCTTCATCCTTTTGGCATAAGAGGATGAAGATCATTATGGCAACCACGGAGTTGGGAAGAACCTGAGCAGAGATAACCTCATACAGTCTAAAAATTGATCGTAGTTACTTACAAAATGGCAACCGATGAACCATTTTGAATTGATCCTTGTAGAAAATCAAGTTGGAGGAGAAGTGATCTGTCGTTCACTCATGACTAGCTGCAGGTCAAAGTTGGATGAAGGAATCGAGAATGTAGGAACATTAAATCTATATCACGTCAACTGTAGAAAGGATCGAAACTTCTGAAGCAGGAATCAACCCAAACGACTCCTGGGAAAAATTTCGTGTCATAAGGCACATGATAACACATAGGAGAAGAGGGGAAGAAGAGATATCAAATCAAAAAGAAATGAAAGCGTGTACAACATAAAGAGACAGTGTGTATATATATAAAAACAGGGAAATGAAAAGCCGCTTACAAGTTACAAGACTGACGTGATGGGTATCGTGCAACACTCAAGGAAAGGCGATCATGATAAAAAACAGAAAACTACATTACATTATTTATTTATTTACAAAAAGAAGGAGGCACACGATGTCAAACTCTTGGAACTACCTATGAAAGGAAAAAAACCTAACTAAACGGTCGTTCGCGGCTTCGTTCGAGACAAACCCTTGGTGATGTATCCGTTCATACATGAATTCACCATCAGCTTGAAGTGTTCATTCTAACTATCTCTTGATTGAGCGATGGGGCCCTCTATAATTGCCAACAGCTCTAAACATAGACTTGTCATCTCTCTGCGAGCAACAAGCATCTCCCCTAAAAAAACAACAAACTCCTCACGAAGTGCAACGACTTATTTTTCCATCAGGCCCACTCCATCTAAGACTTAGCAACTCCTTTGTCATTACCTTCTTGGGGATACCACATGAAACGAAGGAAGGGCTCCTCCGTTCCAGCAAGACAGTGCACCAAGAAGTTGATAGACACCAGGCGCCTCCCAGATACGCTTTCTTCCCTTGTCATGTTGGAAGAGATCGGAGAACCTACAATTTTACCCCCACCAAAAGGAAAATTCTCCTCCATCCACAACTCCAAAACACCTCGTTACGCAACCCTACTCCACAACACCTCACTCTGCAACACCCTGCTCCCCAACATCTCGCTCCACAACAACCTGCTCTGTAATTGCCCTCCACAACACCTCACTCTGCAACACCCTACTCCCCAACATCTCGCTCCACAACAACCTGCTCTGTAGTAATAGATTTAACATCTTTACCAGTCTTCTCTAGCTCTCTTCTCACTAAAGAAAAGCCACCCTTTGGCATATGAGATAGTGTTTTCGCCTCGGTCATCGCCCTGACCACCTCGACGAAAAGTCACCAACGCCATAGCCTGAACAGGCGTCCCTTTCTCCCCAATGGAAATGTCCACCTTAGTCGGATGTCCAACAAGACAATCACCTGAATGACCTCTCGGGTGCTCAAAAGTCACTTCGACAACGAGCTCACAAGAAGACTCAAGGATCCTACTCGATCCTCGCGCTCGCCAGTTCGTGACTTTTGTGTCGGCGTACGAGCTTTCACCCGCATCACTCATTGCCTTAAGAAGGGCGTCTTTGTCAGAAGACGAAGCTCCTCCGATTGACATAATGACGAACACGGGAGGTGAAGATGGAAAATCTATATAGCGAGAAGGAAAGGAGAATGACACAAACTATCCTTATCCCATGGCTTATTTATAGTGGCATGATCATGAAAATCCAGAGAGCTTCATTTTTGCACATTAATGTCATTTAGTTTTTTCTTACATGTTAAAAAAGATTACATTGTTCTTATGTGCAGCTTCTAATGAGCAAGAGAATCGAAGAATTAAATATGTATATAAAAAATATGTTAGCAATTTTTTCTTACATGTTAAAAAGATTACCTTGTTCTTATGTGCAGCCTCTAATGAGCAAGAGAATTGAAGAATTAAATATGTATATAAAAAATATGTTAGCACGAATCTCAAAGTAAACAAACAATTCAGAAGGAATGTACTACCGATCAAACAAGCTTGACGCCAGCAAAGAAGGCATTTAGATCGAACGATCGAAAGAACATGGCAGAGAGCTTCCCATAGGACGATGATCGATTTTCAGACTGATCGACATGTACCAATGGAATCAAAACGAGGGAAGCGGTCAACTAACTTTTTTACTGACTGAATCAGTTCATCAGTCTTATTATAATCTAATGTCTTTGTAAGTACTACAAAAATCCCCTTTAAAGCCTAAAGATAAGAAGACTAATCTACAATTTTGTAGGAATGAGACCTATTCTCATAAATAAGGGCTCAATATCATTAATCAGGGACTATCACACTTTATTGCTCTTTAATATATATATTCTCACCTCCTCCTACTAAAACGTTCTATACCTTGTGTTACCTGAACGCTTTAGGATTCAACATTTTCAATTAACTAAAATTGGCAAAATGACCGCCTAATTGTTTGGCATAGTTTGAACTTGATCCTTGGATTTTGTTGCTATACAATACGTCTATGTATGTATTGTGGGTGTGCTATACAATACGTCTACATATATATATATATATGAATAGAATGAAAGAAGAATAAATATTTTCTTTAGAGCTAATATATATATATATATATATATATATATATTCGAAGAGCGCTAAAGAGAGTAATAAGATGAAAAATAAAGTCAATGTCATACTAATATGGGTACAAGTAATTAAAAAGTACGTAACACGTAGAGAGAGAGCATGCGTAAATCACCATCAAATAAGAAAGAAATACAATAGGAATAATATATCTTATTAAAAATTTAATCTTAAAAAAAAAGTTCTAAAAATTAGAGTAGAAAGCAACCAAGTTTTAATGGAACTATCAAAAAAGAACAACGAAAAAAAAAATTGTAGTTTGAACACCCTAATTGCAATATCATAATGAGCCTTAAATTCTTAGAAAGCAAACGTAAGAGAGAATAAATTATTTATTTATATAATTCGTTCATTTTAAAAATAAATAAATAATTTTTATGTCTCATGAAATTTTATGGCAGAGTAAATAAAGAAGTAGCTGCGACAAAAGAAAAAATATTACATCAGGACTCCGCCTCCTAGAGCTATGTGCAGAGTCAATGAAATTAGGTCGCGAAGGTAATCGGCCCGGTAACACAGTGAATATTACACTCATTTTATTCAAGTGTTATCGTTCGTTATTCATGTGTTATTGTATTTTATTCAGGTGTCATTGTATTATGAGAATATTTTTGATGATATAATAACACAATAACACATGAATAATACACGCACAATAACATATGATTAACACATGATGAATATTCCCTTATGTTACTAGGCCGATCACCTTCCCGGCACATAGCTCTACTTGCGCTCTACATGAGAAGCCCTGATGTAATATTTTTTCACGACAAAGGCTATTCTGAAGGAAGAGCCTCAATTTCTCTCCATTTTTTTATTTCCGTAGCTAGCTTGATTCGACACTAAAGTGATATGACACCAGTGGCATATAAATCTCAAAAGAATTCCAGCAAAAGGCCCTTAATACCTAGACAAATTCTTAGTAATATTGCTACAACATAAAAAATTGAGTCAGCAATAATTCTCACCCACAGTTCACAATAAGAAATTACATTCCAGACCATTTTATGCTCGGAAAAAACATTAAAAAACTATAAAAAAAAACATTTAGAAAATATGCATTATCTCTATTCATGATTCCTCACAGAAAAAGAATCTAAAATAAAAATAAGAGGCCTCAATAACATTTTATTTATTATATTATATTTATAGTTCAATTTATTGATAATTCCTTTTTAAAAAAACTTAACATAACTTTACATTCATTGCCCAGTATTTAGGAGGTAAACCTGCCAATCTCAAAACTTTCAGGAAAATAATGTAAAGAACAATGCATCCATAGCCATTTTCTCCCAGCCAAAAATGGTTCTTTAAACCACAGCTTAGATTCATGAAAAGAAGATCGCATCAAACTAACATCAAAAAGATATTTAAAACAGCAACAAATGTAAAATACAGCAATTATTTGGTTAAAGAAAATTCTAAGCAGTGCTGCTATCAATCAGCTACCACAGTTAAAAGTGCTTCTCAATTATAAGTCTCCTGGTCTAAAATTTGTTACAAAACTGGCTAAAAAAGACAGTACCTGAAACATAATAATAATAATAATAATAACAGAAATTTAAAGAACAGTCAAATATAGATACTGAATAATCTACATATCTCACCTGAATCAAGTTTATTGGGGTCCGGAACTCTGCGATGGCGGCGGAAGTCCCATATTCCCGCCGAGGCCCACTCCAGCTGCCCTCACATCCATCATTCCAGGCTAACCATAAAAAAATATAAACATTTCGATAAATAAAATGATCGGGTCATGTTTAAGAGAGAAAAAGCCGAGCATCAGTTGATGATTTAATCAGGCATTTACATGAATACCACAGAATTATTATCTATATTTACATACATAACACTCATATCTTTAATATCACATCAAACATACCACAATATATAACTTGAAAAGGAGAAAATGTTATCATGCATAGGTTTATGGCAATAAAGTGGTATAAAGCATAAATATTAAATTCTGGACGTTACATATGTAACTATCTAAGAATTGTGTGGTATGTACGTAAATGCCGCTAATTTAATACCTGGAAGGCACTCATTCCCTGAATGGGGCTAATCATTCCGGCCGGTGGTCGGTTAAATAATCCGCCCATTGGAAAATTCTGTACGACCGGATTCGCGGGATTCTGAAGGTTCGCCAAGCCGCCGCCAAAGCCTCCCAGGCTCTGCTGTAAGTTATTATTCGGGATTGCAATTGGCTGCTGCATTTGGTTAAGACCCACTATATGGGCTTGAGGCAATGGGGAAATCATTGGATTAGCAGACACCTGCATTAGCTGAAAATTGTAATTAATTACTCGCATATTGCACTCATATCAAAGAAAACCAAACGATTTGGATATTGAGATCAAACTCTAACAGTTGTTTGGGTAAGCAAATATTTGATCATGGATTTTCGGAAACTTGAGATTCTATGTGGTATCTAAAATACAAAATTATTTTGAAAATTCAGCACACCAATAATCTGCAATTGAACAATTTCATGTTTACATATACATCACAGCTGCACGAATGATCATCTTGAGAGAACATACGTGGAAAAAAAAGGGTTGTGATTATACAGGTATTCATTCATTTGTCACGTGTGAGAATGTGAATGTCCTACAAAGCTGAAAAATAAGACTACAAATAAACCAGTGTGTTCAAAAAGCTACTCGTAGCTCGGCTCAATAAGAACTTGTTCACGTTCGTTTGAATAACTAATTGAACAAATTTGAATATTTTTATAAATACTTAATTGTTAAATAAATAAGCTTGAACAACTTCCTTATTTGATTCATTTATGTTGACAAATAATATCATTTAAAGCTCACGAACAAACTCATTAAGAAGCATGATAAACAGTTTCATTTAAAGTTCATTAAGAAGCTAATAAATAAAGCTTAAATAAAGCCCAATTTAATACTTGTGAAGACATTAAATTAAAGCTCAATTTAAAACTTATTTATAATAAATTAAAATAACATTTTAATTTATAATACATAAAATAAGACAGTTGTTTGTTTAATTGCTCATTTATTTTGTGCATTTTGTATGCTTATTAGTAGCTCTTTCATTTAAAAGCTTGTTTGTTTTTGTAAGTTGAAGAAATAACTACTTTATAAGCTCGATAAACCTCGTTTCATTAGAAAATAAATAGCCAAGTCATGATGTTTATTAGTTCGCTCGATAAGACTTTATTGGACAAAAAATAAATAGCTTGATAGCACTAATTTTAATTTACTCAATAAAAGTTTTGTTAAAAATCAAAACGATTGATAATACTACTCATTAATATACTCGATAATAACTTAATAATCATTATATTGAAACAAACATGAACTAAGCTCAACAACAACAACAACAACAACAACAACAACAACAACAAAGCCTTAATCCCACTAC